TGTATTCTATTTGGCTGTGTACATTTTGAGGTCCAGCGCCAAGGGCCTTCTGGCGGTTCCCTTGCTGCAAGAAGCCAAGTTACAGGGAACCAGGCAGAGGGCCTTCTTGGTAGTGGTGCCCATCCTGTGGAATGTCCTCCCACCAGATGTTAAAGAAAAAAACAACTACCAGACTTTTAGTAACATCTGAAGGCAGCCCTGTTTAGGGAAGCTTTTAATGTTTAATAGACTATTGTATTTTAATATTCTGTTGGAAGCTGCCCAGAGTAGCTGGGGAAATCCAGCCAGATGGGCGGGGTATAAATAATAATATAATAATAATATAATATAATATAATATAATATAATATAATATAATATAATATAATATAATATAATATAATAATATAATAAATATAATATAATATAATATAATATAATATAATATAATATAATATAATATAATATAATATATATATGTGTGTGTGTTTTATTTGTTGCTTGTGAATTTTGTTATGTTGGTAATTATGTAAATCTTGTCATGTTGTAAGCCCCCTTGAGCATTCTGTTAAGTATGGAAAGGTGGCATACAAATAAAATGTTGTTGTTGATGATGATGATGATGATGAGAGGGCTCTTGTGCTAAAATCCTGCTTGTGGGTTTCCCACAGTCATCTGCTTGGCCATTGTAAGAATAGAATGCTGGACTAGATGAGCCAATGGCCTGATCCAGCACGCTCTCAAACTATTCTTCAGCCACAGCAAACATCTGCTGAGAGCTAGCCTCCACCATTCCAGTCAAACCAGCCTGTATTGAATTTGCATCCCAGGGGATGAGATTTGGAGTGGGACATGGTAAAGGTAAAGGGACCCCTGACCATTAGGTCCAGTCACGGACAACTTTGGGGTTGCGGCGCTCATCTCGCTTTATTGGCCGAGGGAGCCGGCGTACAGCTTCCGGGTCATGTGGCCAGCATGACTAAGCCGCTTTGGGCGAACCAGAGCAGCGCACCGAAACGCTGTTTACGTTCCCACCGGAGTGGAACCTATTTATCTACTTGCACTTTGACGTGCTTTCAAACTGCTAGGTGGGCAGGAGCAGGGACCGAGCGATGGGAGCTCACCCTGTCACGGGGATTCGAACCTCCAACCTTCTGATCGGCAAGCCCTAGGCTCTGTGGTTTAACCCACAGCATCACCCGTGAGATTTGGAGTGGGCCATGAGACGAGTTTTTCCCCGAGCCTCCGCTGCCACTTTTTATTGCCTCTGACTGTGCAGCCCGGTTGCTAGCAATTGCCCTGCTTTGATCCCGAAAAATGCTGCGTGCCAATAAAAAGGAGCGGAAGTGTCCAGAAGCGTTGCTGCCTTTGCACTGCCAGCACCCAGAGCTGTGTGAATTCGAGTGTATTGTTTGAAAAATGAAGGTGCCTACGTTAGCAGAGCTCCAGGGCAGGAGCTTAGCTGGTGTTAGCATAGCTGCCACGTTGACAGTTTATATCGAATTTATGTGCCCATTTATTCTGTCTTTTTTATGGGAAAACAGGTTGTTACCCTACAGCTGCCATATCACATGCTACTTACCCTGCCTCCGAGCACCAGAGCACCTTCCTCAAGGAAACATACATACATCAAGGGGTTATAGAGATTTTAACAACTCAGTAAAGGGGAGGGGAGGTGGGGCTGTCATAAAATATGCATTATAAGCCATGGATTTGCAGCTTTTAATTTTTTTATTTATTGCCGTGTTTTTACCTGCTGTATAACTGGTTTATTGCCCATTGCCACCATTTGGATGGCATCAGCGTAGGGAGGGTGGAAGGAGCGGGAGAAAGAAAGAAAGAAAGAAAGAAAGAAAGAAAGAAAGAAAGAAAGAAAGAAAGAAAGAAAGAGTAAGGAAACCATGGCACAGAACTGATAGTTTGCTAAAGAGATGCAGCAGATCTTCAGCTCAGACAGCTAGCTCCTGACTCAGAGTTATCCAAACCTCTGCTTGCCCTGTGGGTTTCAAAGGTCTGGCCTTTGTCTCGCCATTTCCCCCCAGAAAACCTGCTCTTTAGCGACCAACCAGAACAAATGTCAGTCCGTGGGATACCCAATTGTGTGGCAAAGCCCCAAGCCACCCCATGAGAATAAAGACACAAGGACACCGAATTTTAGGTTAATGTTAATGGGCAAAATTTAGGCCACAACTTTATTGGTTATAGAATGTGAGCAGTATTGGCTTAGGCATATGTGACTCCTTTCAGGGAGTTTGGTAAGGGTAAACCACCAGTAGGGGGACCCTGCTGATGCGGATTGACTTGAGCCCCTCAGGGTTCCTGCTGGGGTCATGGCATGGCCCTAGCACCTCCCCGGGCTTTGGACAAGATCCACACCCCTGGATTCCTTTAACGGAATACACTTGAGCATGGAGGGGCAGGTGATGGCCGCACCTCCCCTCCCCCACACATTGCTATTCCAATGCCTAACCACCTAACCTTACGAAGTTGTGAGGATTGCTATGAGGTAGGCGAAAACCAAGTGGCCAGTGCCAATTTGCCAAGTGGAAGAAGTCCTACTAGGCTGCTCAACGGCAACCAACTGAAGGGCAAGGCCAATGACCCAACCTGTACAAAGGGTGGGAGGGCGGGAGCAAGGCTGAAAAGGGATGATTCAGCGTTGCACCGTGGTTTAAGTTGGCCCAGGCCACGCCCCCCAAGCCACCTGATTGGCCACTTGGCTAACTGGCATGGCCGGGCCTCCCCAGCATAAGGTATGAGCTTTCATGTGTCTGCACACTTCTTCAGATACATGCATGCACACGAAAGCTTATACCAATGACAAACTTAGTTGGTCTCTAAGGTGCTACTGGAAGGAATTTTCTTATTTTGTTTCGACTATGACAGACCAACACGGCTACCTGTGACAAAGAGTGCTTCAACAACATCTCTCCATGAGCTTTTCTTACCACATCACCAAGCTGCTCTTCAGATTTCCCTGTGTTTTGACGTTGGACCATCTCTTGGCTTGTCCACACATCAGTTTGCCCCATGCCCCATGTCCAGAAAGCATGGGTCTGTGCAGTTTTCCACCATCGCTGCATCAAGCAGTTGGTCCCTTACCTCTCCCGCCCTGACCTGGCCACAGTGATCCATGTGACGGGCACCTCCAGGCTTGACTACTGTAATCCGCTCTACACAGGGCTGCCCTTGAAGCTGTCCCAGAAACTCCAGTGGGTGCAGAATGCTGCAGCGAGGCTCCTCACAGGATCTCTGTCATGGGAGCATGGGAAACACCTAATCAGATGGGACTCATTGCGTAAATAATGTATATAAAAGCCTGAGGTTTAGGGGGGCAATTCAATCACTGTTTTACAAGCTGCAATAAAGAGCATGAAATCACTTCAGGACTCTGAGTATATTTCAGACTACATGACACTTGGTATCCCTTTCAGCTGTACAATGTTATAATTTTATGATTCCATGACCTGTGCGATGTCCAGTGTGACTAGGTTTTTTTTCCCCAGCCAGAACCCAGTTCTGGCACCTCTCAGGTGGGCGCCATTGCTATTATGAGAGAACAAGGGAGGTGTTCGTAGTGAATTCCAGCACCTCTCTTTATAGAGAAATAGCACTGAGTGTGACCCAGGCAAACTCTTTTTTGTGATTAGGAGCAAAGCCACGCAGGTCATCATTTGAACTACAGTCAACATGGAAGTCACAAGAAAAGCATCATTCTGCCTGGGAACACTAATGGACCTTTTTTTTAACTTTGGAAAAATAAACCGGACTTTATGTGGCATGGTTATTACTATAGATATCCCCTGCAATAAAAGAGATTATTGTCCACAATAAAAAATGCAAAAAATTACAATAGAAATATATAGAGCAAATAAAAAGTTAGTATTTAGTAAAAACAACCCAGAAGTGAATGTGGTGTTGTTAGCAGTGCACAAAACTTACTTGGCATGGGCTGGTGAACGGCTAGGATGGCATAGGGTGTGATTCCTAGCCTTCCCATCTTCTCATATGCCTCCCTGAACCTTCTCCACATTTCAAGCCTCAGTGCTATCAAACCTGAATCTTGGGGAAGGTTATATTGCAATCTCCATACTGGGAGCAAGAGCCAAGGACAGCTCGAGGAACCGAGATTTTTCAAAATGTGCATATATTTATGTACAGAAATATTAGAGATATGTATGCCCTACTCCCACTCCTGATGTGGATCCCTATTTGGGGTCAGCCCAAATCCTGGTTGACTTGACTCAGAGGCGGGACCTGAATAAATCTGGGGGCAAGGCCTAGTGAATTTCACATCAATTTCCCATGAAATTGTAGTACTTTTCTCCCCTACCCCACCAGTATTCAAAATAGGCTCACCCTTAATGTAAGATACCAGTGATAGGTCATGCCACCCTCCTCCTTCTCCTTCTCCTTCTCCTTCTCCTTCTTCTCTTTCTCTTTCTCTTTCTCTTTCTCTTTCTCTTTCTCTTTCTCTTTCTCCTTCTCCTTCCTGTACTATTTAGCTTAACAAGTAGACATTCTTGGTACAGACCTATTTATCCAACTGCATCAGTTGCGACTACTAGCAAGATACAAATACGAACAATTTTGTCCAAGTAAACAACACACTGAGGGTCTCTGAGGTGTTCTGGGCTCCATCTTCCAAGCGTTTAAACAGGCATTGATCTCTCTCCCACACCCCAAGAATTATTGGGACTGAGAAGTCCCTTTTGCAGAGCAAGAAAATTTTGGATAAATTGTAGAGCAGATTTGGGCACAACACTATTTCAGTTTGGGGCACACCTACCTCTCACATACAGGTGGTGTAGGGGTGGATTATGAGGTCCGACAGTTTGAACATAAACAGAGTCCACTGGATCAGGCCAGAGGCCCATCTAGTCCAGCATCGTGTTTTCACAGTGGCCAACCAGACGCACCAATGGGAAGCCTGCAAGCAGGACTTGGGCACAAGAACACTCCCTGCCCTCTGGGTTCCAGCAACTGGTATTCAGAACCATTGCTGCATTATTGGATGTGAATGGAAGGGCTGTAGCTAAGTGGTAGAACATCTGCCTTGCATGCACAGAAGGCCCCAGGTTCAACGCCCTGATATCTCCAGGTAGGGCTGGGAGGGACTCCTGCCCGGAACTCCAAAGAGCCACTGCCAATCAGGGTTAGACAATACTGAGCTAGGTGGGCCATTGATCTGGTTCAGCCAAAAAAAAAAAAAAAAAAAAACCTTCCTATACACCTGTTCTGAATTTTAGTTTTTGTTTTATGCTTTCAGTGATTTTACATTGCATATTTTGATTTTATTATGTAGCCCATGCTCGGATCACTGTGCAGAAGAGAAACTGAACAAATAAAATATTGGTAAATCATAAAATTATGCTCATGGGTAGGCAAACTAAGGCCCGGGGGCCGGATCCAGCCCAATCGCCTTCTAAATCCGACCCACGGACGGTCCGGGAATCAGCATGTTTTTACATGAGTAGAATGTGCCCTTTTATTTAAAATACATCTCTGGGTTATACATCACAAGGTCCGAGGGACAGTGGACCAGCCCCCCGCTAAAAAAGTTTGCTGACCCCTGATTATGCTGAATGCACAGAGGAAGTAAGGGTGGGGCAGTGGCTGTAAGAAGTCGCGATCCTGCTCCCACCTCAGTGTGTGTTCAGACTAACATCCGAACAGCACTAAACTGTTAGTACAAAGGACAGGCAAATTGTCTATTGTCGGCAATGCCTCGAATGACATCTGTATGGGAGCATCTGTTACTGTTGCTGTTCTATAAGCTCAAAGTCAGCAAGAAGTTTGCGAGGATTTGAGCCACCTCCGGCATTTTAGGAAATTTAAAGCACAGCCCCTGTCTTGTCCCTGGACATTAATACCCGTTCTGTGATTTGCTGAAGACATCCGTTCAATAATGTTGAAAAGGACGATCAATACATGGATACTCCATAATCCTAGACAGCGGACATTCCCTGGGGATTTCTACTGTGCCTCAGATGGGCTGTTGCAGGGTTGTGTTTGGCTCCCCATCCCCTTAGAGGCTGCACCAGCATCATTTAATTTAACATGACACTTCCTTCGCTCATCTGCTGCTAAGACGTCTGCCAAGTCAGAGGCAGAAAGCATTAAGTAGGATAAAACCAAGAATCTTAAGATGAAAACACAAACACAGAGGTTTAGAAGAAGACTTCACGGGAAGTAAAAGGGACATAGATTTAGGAGGCTGATTAGTGTAAGAGGTGGCGGTGGAATAACAAAGCAATAATAGAAGAAGGATATTAGCTCCACCAAGAAAAGAATACCTGTTTGTCATCAGGGAGCCTCCTCAGCTAACACAAGACCACAATCCAAGCCATTGTTATGTAGTGGTTAAGAGCAGTGGACTCGTAATTTGGGGAACCGGGTTCGCGTCTCCGCTCCTCCACATGCAGCTGCTGGGTGACCTTGGGCCAGTCACACTTCTCTGAAGTCTCTCAGCCCCACTCACCTCACAGAGTGTTTGTTGTGGGGGAGGAAGGGAAAGGAGAATGTTAGCCGCTTTGAGACTCCTGAAGGGGAGTGAAAGGCAGGATATCAAATCCAAACTCCTCCTCCTCCTCCTCTTCTTCTTCTTCTTCTTCTTCTTCTTCTCCTTCTCCTTCTTCTTCTTCCATGTTTTCAGTCTTGAAAGTAAGAGATCCATAAAGACATGGAGAGTTATGAAGTGCAACCAAGTTCACCCAAAACATTTTTCTGCCTAAGGCAAGGAATGAAATGGTCCCCATCCACAGATCCAGATCAGCATTTTTGGTCTGGAGCCTTTATGGAAATAAGTCTCCTCACATACCCAACAGTCCAGTGTACATCACAACTTGCTTTAGTGTCTATTTTCCATCAGGATGAAAAATATTCACAGCATAAAGCACTGATTATATTCTTACTCGTAGCAGCACGACAGTTGATTGCTCAAAATTGGAAAAATCTGGACCATCTACTTCTATCCCTGTGGAGGCAGAAAGTATGGACAAAAGCCTTAATGGAAAAGCTTACTAAAAGCCTGAAAGCTCTGAGGAAGATGACTTGCTAGAAACTTGGTATTCCTGCATTAACTTTTCAACTGATAATTCTGGAATGTGATGTCCTCTGAACACCCCTGTGGAACTTTGGAGCATGTTAAATTTAAACATACTGCCCCATTCCTCTCTGAGGGTAAAGAGGGAGAGAGGAAGGGGAATTATTGGGATATTTCACTGCAGTTTATTAATGTTCCTTATGACTCTTGTAGTCCCTTTCCTGCTCTACAATTCTATGATTCTATATAATTCTGTGTAATTTTGAAAACTTAATAAACAATACATATATAAAATATGGTCCTCCCTTTCCATGCATAGCAGGAGGTGGCAAACTAGAACTGGTTAATGAGACTGGGCAGGAGCAGCCACCTGTTTAATCCCCTGATGCCATATGGTTAAAGATGGTGAAGGGTCTGGAAAGCAAGCCTTCTGATGAATACTTGTTGGGGTTTGGTTTGTTTAGCCTGCGAAAGAGAAGACTAAGAAGTGCTAAGATAGTCACCTTCAAATATGCCCAGGGCTGCCACATGGAAAATAGAGCAAGCTTGTTTTGCTGTTAGTGGTGTAAAGGTAAAGGGACCCCTGACAGTTAAGTCCAGTCATGAATGACTCTGGGGTTGTGGCGCTCATCTCGCTTTACTGGCCGAGGGAGCCAACGTTTGTCCGCAGACAGTTTTTCTGGGTCATGTGGCCAGCATGACTAAGCCGCTTCAGGAGAAACCAGAGCAGCGCACGGAAACGCCATTTACCTTCCCGCCAGCTATTCATCTACTTGCACAGGTGTGCTTTTGAACTACTAGGTTGGCAAGAGCTGGGACCGAGCAAGGAGAGCTCACCCCATGATGGGGATTCGAACCACAGATCTTCCGATTGGCAAGCCCTAGGCTCAGTGGTTTAGACCACAGCGAGTCCCGTTAGTGGTGTAGGGAGATGAAATAAAATCCACATCTGGCCACCAATGTGCCCCCTGGGTAGACGAGTATAAAAAGCATGGGACACAATCCCCATGGCCCTCTAGCCGCTATGGTGGCTCATGCACCAGAAGCAATGTATTTAGCATTAACTCCTGAAGTGTATACTTGATTCTAACTAAACTAAGCTTCCTGATGTATATCAAGGGTCATGAAGAACTGCAATCAGTTCAAAGCCAGCTCAGCATCATTATCAAGCACCACATCTTCAGCTTGCAGATTAAACTCCAACTTCATCCGCTGTTCTTGTGGACCCTGGTCTGGCAGACAGTGTCTCCAGGCATGGCCTCCCATGGCCACTGCATGACACCTTCATGTTCATATTTTGTGTTTAGCTTCTTGATGTGGTTCATGGATCAGAGGGCTATCAGTTGCTACTAGCCATGATGGCTAGGTTCTGGCTCAACAGTTGGAGGCAGCAAGTTGGAGGTTGATGGGAACCACAGGAGGGGAGAGGGCTCTTGTGTTCAAATCTTGCTTGCAGAATTTCCACAAGCATCTGGTTGGCCACGGTGAGAACAGGGATGATGGACTGGATGGGCCATCGGTCTGATCCAGCAGGCTGTTCTTATGTTCTTCTGCTCTGCCAAAAGCTCGGTTTCCCTAGCCGAGGAAAGATTCCCGCTGTTTGATTACAGTTTATTGGAAGGGAAAACTAGTTTTTGGAATCCAGTCAAAACCACTTTCCAGGATCGTTATGTGCTCTAGCCACCTCACTCCCTTTATCTGTGTAGACAAGAACACCAGAAACTTATTTCTATTCGTCCATTAGATGCTCCCACTCCACCATTTGGCATGTCTGATCTCACCGGCTTCATCTCATGTTCAGGTGCCAGAAACAATTAGGCAAACATTAGTTCCATACACAATCCCACTTTTTTTAAAAAAAAAGCTCACGCATTGCCAAATTGCATTATTATTTCCCCAAGGAAACAAATCCTGAAATGGGGGAGAGAATTTATAGATACATATTCATTATTTATGAGTTTGGAAGGGGCTTCCCCTCTGTTCACTGAAAGGCATAAAGAACTTGGCTCCTTTTGAGAACCAGGAAAAGTCCTTTACCGTGAAATCCCAACCATGCTTACTCAGAAGTAAGTTCTATTCAGCCCAATGGTAAGCGGAGTTAGGATTGCAACCCAAACACAGCGCCCCCTTCAAAGTTTGTATGAAATGTGGTTTTGAATCCTGGGGGAAACTGAGGAAGAGAAGAATGAGGAGTGCCTTTTTTAATTTTTAAAAATGATTTACCTTTTACCTGTCCGAAGTCATACTTGGAGTCTCCCTATTTATTACATTAACCACAAAACTAGTTATGTACAAATGAGGTTGCCTTAGATCAAAGTAGACCTGATGCATCCAGCTCAGTGGTGTCTACTTTGACTGCCAGTAGTTCTCTGTGGGATCCAGTGTTGGATTCCCCAATAAACAGAAGACCAAGCATGTGTTTAGGGCAGCAGCAAAGTAGGGGCACTGAAAGAGAGGGAGAGAGGGGGGGAATTTTGAAAGATTTTGACATCTTATATTTAAAAAACATCATCAAAGTAGTCATCATGGGGGGGAGGGAATCAGAGAAGGGCACCCTCAATTTTTAACTGATGCTACTGAGATAGACCTCTAATGCTATTATCATTTCTTCCAGTAGCACCTTTTAACTCTTATGTTTAAATAAGAGATCAGTGAAATCACAGCCTATAAAGCGCCACTGGACTTCCTCCCATCATGTGTCATAGATACAAATGGCTTTGCCTTTTCATTCTTCAATAATTTCAAGAACATTTTTTTGGGGGGTGGGGGGGAGTGATTTGACTTTTGAGATTGACAAAAATCTCTTAAATTCCTACCAAATTTCAGCTACAGGCAAATCTGAGGCAATTATGAGAGATCAAAGTATCTGTAGGAATTTTGAAGGAAAGCAGAGGGTGATGAGGCAAACTTTTTTAAGCAAAGGGAATTCATGCCACCAAAGTGTCTAAGTCTTCGTCATCCAGTTCTCACTTAGCGCTTGACATTTTAAAAACGCGGGAGGAAAAAAAGCAACATTCCTCAGTGTTGTAGGAGCAATCTTCCTTTCTTGCATCAA